CCTGTGCGGTGGCGCGCGGTCCACAAGGCCAATGCATGCGCCAGCCCCATGCCGCCGAGTCGACGAGGGGAGAAAGCGAGGTCTTCCCGGAAGTGACGGACGCGGCGTTCATTGCGGCGTGCGATCGGCTCGTTGCGCAGGAATTGGAGCATCATGCGGTCGATGATCGCCGCGGCCTTTGCTGTCGGCAGCACCCATGCGAGCTGGTACCAGAGCAGTGGCAGACAGAGCGTGCGTAGAATGACGACTTTTCCGACGAGCGTGTTCGACTTGTACGACCAGAGCCGGAGCCGGTCTGCAAACTTGGCGAGGGCGTAGTCGAAGCGAGCGTTGGGACCGAGCCCCGGCGCAACCAAAATACCGAGGGCCTTTGTTGGAGTCTCCTGCTTGACCACGAGTGGCGCGAGCGCGTCCGAGACCGGAGCGTATGTCAGAAGCTCGGTCTTGTGGCGATTCAAGCGAAAGCCCGAGACGGCACAAAACTGTTCCACCAAGGCGAGTTGGGCGTGGAGTGCATCTTCATCCCGCGCAATCAGCTGCGTATCGTCAGCAAAGCAGCTGGCAACGTGCGCGACGCCGCCGATGTGGACTCCGAGGTCCGGCCTGCTGCGCAGTAGGTTGCAAAGAGGTTCCATGGCGAGAACGAAAAGCAGCGGTGACAACGGGTCTCCCTGGAGAACCCCGCGCCCAATGTCGAAGGCCCGCGAGAGACGGCCGTTGACCAAGAGCCGCGACTGGCGTCCGGAGTACAGGCAGCGGACGGTGTCGACAAAGGCCGGCGGAAAGCCGAGCCGAGGCAGCAGTTGGGCGAGGTACGTGTGGCAGACGCGATCGAACGCCTTTTCAAAGTCCAAGAGGGCGATGATCGACGTTGGCGCGTGGTCCTTGCAGTACGCGAGCATGTCGTCTAGCCGTGCTATATTAGAGACGATCGAACGCCCGTGGATGAAGCCGTTTTGGTCCGAGTGAACGAGCCAGTCGGCGCACGGCTGCACGCGGTTGGCCAAAACCTTGGTCAGCATCTTGACGTCCGTGTTGATGAGGCTGATGGGCCGGTAGTTGCCTGCCCGGTCGCGTGCGCCCTTCTTGTGGAGCAGGATCGTCGTGCCTCGGCATTGCGCCGTCGTCAACGTCGGGTGGTCATGGAGGCGGTGCATAAACACCATCTCGAGGGCCCGGGCCCATTGTGTCGGTGCCAGTTGAAGAACTTCGTTCGGGAGTGCATTCGGTCCTGGAGCCTTGTTAGATGCGGCCTGAGTGATGACCTCGTAGATTTCCGACGCCATGATCGGGGCCTCGAGGCTCGCGGCGAGCGCCGCGGGTAGCGGCGACGGAAGTACGGGGTCCAAGAAGGCGTCGATCGCGGCCGCGGGCGCCGGCTCGTCCGGTGCGTAGAGCTGCGCGTAGAACCTGTGTAGAGTGGCTTCCACACCCGCTGGCTCCGTGTGGTGCACGTCGTCATCGTCCGTCATGGCCAAGATGGCTTTCTTACGGAGAGGACGGGGAACTGGGATCTTCAAATGCCGGCGTGAGCACCGGTCAGCTTCCGCTAAGTGGCGGTGGAGCACCGCTTCCGCCTTGAACTCACGCACCTGCGCGTGGTACTGCTTGAGCTCAGCCTTGATCTGGCGCACTGCTGCCACGAGGGCTTCGGAGACCTCGTGCTGAAGCGCATCGAAGGCGACCGCCAAGCGACGCGTGAGCGCTGTGAGGTCGGCCGCGTTGTCCTTCACCTTCTTGCGGTGTAGCTCGTGGAGTCTGCGCCGAATGTAGTACACCATGTTGTCATAGTACTTGGAGACGTTCTGCGCGAGGTCGGTGCGCGCAAGGAAGCCGTCGAGATGCGAGATGACAATCTTGGCCGCCTCAGGTAGGCGTAGCAGCCACGAGGGTGGCGTCCAAGGCCCAGGCCCCGGTCGCCGTCCCGGTTGCAGCGCAACGATGCACGCTGAGTGGTCCGACCTTGTCGTGCCGTGTTCGTGGGTAGCCGTGACCGTCTGCGCGTGGTGCAGAGCGCGCGACATGAAGATGTAGTCAATTCTGTTCTTGCTGCGCGGGCTGGTGAGCACGCGGCGTGCCGGGTGCTGCGCGCGAAAGACGTCAATGAGATCGAGGCAGCCTAGCCAGTCGAAAAGGGCTTCGCGACCGGTTTGAGACGCGATCGACGGAGCGACAGAGTCCAGACGGTCGTGCAGCGTAACGTTGAAGTCACCGCCCACGATATGAACGGCGTCCGGTGGGAAGTCCCGTGGCAGTGCCACGAAGAAAGCCGAGCGTGTCGCCGGGTCGGACGGCGCGTAAACGTTGTGAAGGTACACGGGGAGCTCGCCGACGAGGCCTTGGAGCAGAAGGTAGCGATTCTGGAGCGCGGGACGGTCGAGCGGTGTCGCGACGACTTGAAGGTCTTGAATTGCGCTGTCGGGTCGAACCGTCGTGGCGACGCCGCGGCACGAGTGTTCTCCAGGCGCGCGTGCAAAACGCGGGTTGCAGACAAACCAGTGGGATGTGCTGAAGATGAGTTGGCTCCACGCGAACGCGGCTTCGTCTTGGGACTTGGTAGAGCTGAACTTGGTTTCTTGGTAGAATGTGATGTCGTGCTTGATTGAGAAGGTGTGCAAGAGCGAGTGGTATTTTCGCTCGAGACTGTTGGCGTTGAGGCAAGCTACACTCAACGTCAACGGAGGCACAGCTGCTTGCATGTTGCCATCATGCAGCGGCTGCGCCTGCGAGGCGGCCGAGGCCACCTTAGCAGCGAGGCGCGAGCGCGCCTGCACAGAGCGCACCCGTCTCGACATCGCAGTTCGGTGCGGAGTCCACAAAGAGGGCCAGCAGCGTGTCGAACGCGCCACCGACCATTTTCGGCAGGTTCTTGAGCGCGGTGAATTGCGGCGCAAACTGCGGGTGTGTGACGACCGCCAATAGCGACTTGTCGGACAGTAGACCTTCCGGTGTCCGCAGTACGGGCTCGCCGAGGATCTGGGCGAGTAGGGCGTCGTTATCGTACACGTCCCGGCCTCGAAGGCGGAAAACCAGGTCCAGGCCGGCCAATGCGAGCGCTGCCGCGCGCTCAGACTCGTCTACGGCCGCCGCAAACATCTGGGCCATAGTGCGGGCATCTGCCGGCTGAGTTGCCACCATTTGATCAAGAGCTGGGCCGCGTAGCGCCGGATCTTGGGTTGTGCGCACGATCGCGCGACGAATCGCTTGCGCCTGGGCGAACGAGGTGGCGCCGCCTCGGCGGCAGTTGAACATGACGGCGTTGACGACGTCCGGTTCGTTCTCCACCATGGCGAGGAGCGTGCGCGGGTCTGTGCATACCGACACGTCGCCCGATTTGGCCTCGATGAGCTTCTTGGTCGTCGTGGCAGCCCGCTTGGCCAGCTCCGCCGCCGTAACCTTCTTCTTCCCTAGGCTGCGGTTGCGGGTACCGTGCGACTCGGCAGGCGTGGTCCGCGCGCGGAAATGTGGGAGAAAATCCGTCGCGTCTGGGTCCATTTCGGCGTCGGCGGTTTCTTCTTCTTCTTCTTCCGTGTCCGCGAACGCGTCGAACATATTCGAGGTCGATGCGGCGACCTGCGACCGTGTGTACAGTCCCGCGCTCGCATCAATTGAGGTGACGACGACGTCTTGCCCATCGTCTGCGCCACCGAGGTCCATGTCGTCTTGCCCGGCGCCTTCCATGGTAAAGGCGTCTGGGGAGGTGGAATCGTTGGCAAGGGCGGCGTCGGGCATGGTGTCAGCATTCAAATGAAGCGGCACATGTCCAGGCGGTACGGCGGCGGCGGCGTCGGAGGAAGTCGGCGCGGCCGCGTCTTGGCGTTGAGCGGGGTCTGTCGCGCGGCGTTTGGGCTGGGCACCACTGTCGGTGCGTTGCGCGTCATTGGCGTTCTTGCGGGTTTGTTTGGCGGCGGCGCGCGCTGCCTTCTCGGCTGCCGCTGCTGCTTTCTGTTCGGCGATACGCTCGCGGTGGAGTTCGCGCTCGTTGCGGGCCACGACCAACGAAGGGGGGCACGTCGAGTTGTACATATGGACCTTGTGGTGGAATACCGCCTAGACGCGCTCGCCAGCGCGGTTGATGATCTCCACTTCTCGAACGGTCTGGCCATCGCCGAGCAGCAATGCCGCAGGGATTGCCGTCTGATTGAACAGAACGCGATAGGACGAACCTGCAATGACGGCGTTCTGCGTCGGGCAGAAACCTTGAAGGACGTTGCGGGTCAGCTTGAAGAGAGCCACGAAGGCGGCGCGCTGGAGAAAAGGGTCGGCGAGGTCGCGGAACGTGACATAGTAGTGATGCGCGTAAGCCGACTTGGCCGGGACGAGGTACATGCGGCCGCCCGGAGGCGTCAGCGTGAACGACATGTGCGTCAGCGTCTGACTGACTTCCGGGTACTGGGTCGCGAGCGTCAGCACAGTGCCTCGGGTGCCGTATTGCTTCAAAATGATCGCGACCTTCGAAAACAGGCCTTGCCACTCGAGCGACTTGTTGTGGCCAACGAGCCGTTCGCGCATGGTGGATTCGTCATCGCCGCCGTATCCGGGCCCTAGCTCGACTGGGTGCTCGAACCATTGCGAATTGCGGGACGTGTTGGAAGCTTTGTCCAAAAAGGCTTCGAGCACGTCGTCGATCGCGTCTGGGTCGGCGGCAAGCACCGCGGCGAGTTGCAAGCAACTGGCATCGAGTGCGGCGTCGTCCACAGCGTGTCCAGAGAGCGGTTCGCGCGGCGAGGTTTTGGGTTTGTGCGGCGGCGACTCAGGCTGCGTGGCCGGCGACTGTTGGTCGGGCTTCTGGGACGCCTGCTTCTTCGCCTTCGCTTGTGCCTTGAGGAGCTTGGTAGCGGCCCGGACGGTGCGACGGTTGAGCACCCCCGGCGTCTTCTTCTTCGGCGTTGTCGGCTGGCCAGGCGTGGCCGCGGGCGACGCGGGCTGCGTACTCGAGGAGGCCGCGGCCGCTTCCGCGCCATTCGTGGTCGTTTCGGTAGGGCCCGCGGTCGGGGGTGGGGTACCCGCAGACTCAGTGCTCACCGCGGAGTGCGATGTCGCACCATCTGTAGGACCCGTACCCGTACCCACTAGAGAGGGGGGAGGGGCCACAACGGCGATCGAGGACGGATTAGGGCCAGACATGGTGACTTCGGTTCGGGTGCAGGCGGGTGGGAGGTGTGCGCAACAGGTCGGAATAGAAAGTCGACAATCTGCCACGTCATCTTGACGACAAAGTTGCTCGTCCTTCCAGAAGCGGTGTGTGTCATACTAGTAGCGCTGAACGAGAATCTTCGGAGGCGATGTTACGACGATGCCGACGCTGTTGAATGCGCAAAACTTTGCAATTTACACTTGCTTTGTTGCAGAGTCCTTCAAAGACGACCGACCAG